TTCTACATTATTACCATTTATGAAAACTGCAACTAATGGAACTCTTTTAACAAAAGATCAATGGAAATCAAAAATGGGTAATATTATAGAAATGTTTTATAAAAAGAAATTAGATTATAAACAATTTGTTGATTCTTATTTTGCTAAATTAGAAGAAATTTTACGTATGATTAGAAAGAAATTTAATGAAACAATTGCTAATCTTAATGAAGAAAGAATGATTCTTGAAACAATATTCTTTAATGGTTGTATGAATAAAGTCTATAAAGAACTCGCTTTAGAAAAAGAAGAAGATTATTGTGAAGTAAATGTTAAATTTTTTCAATTATATCCATTTGAAATTGTTGTTCAATTTGACTCACTTGGAATATTTGAATTATCAATAAGTGAAGCAAGTACAATATTAAATCAAATTAAGGTTCAAGCTGAAAGATTGAAAGATCCTCATTATAAAATTAAAGAACAATTATTTGTTATAAGAAAATTATGTTCAAGTGATGAAGAATTTAAAGAAATGTTAAATACAATCACTTCTTATAAATTTAATAACACTTTAAAATGTCAAAAGTTAGATAAATATTATTCTTTTTATAATGAAACTTCTCCTGAAATGATTTTTAAAAGAAAAGTTGATGAAATTATTGTTACTCCACCAACAACTACTCATTTAAAGGAAAAGAAATTATTAAAATTCTTTACTTTAAATTAATTCTTTTTTAATCAATTAATTCATTCATATTCCTATTCTTTATTAAATTCTTCTTTTTTTTATTTTATGTTTAAATAAAAATGAAGTGAAGATGGAATGTTAGAAACATCACACAAAAACGAAAATAAAAGAAGGTATTTTATGGTTATAACGTTGCATTTGGATAGAAAATATATTACCTAATATTGTAAAGAATGATAATAATTATTTATTTATTAATGATGTAAATTTATTTGTTAACATTAGTATTACCAAAAGAAAAAGATTTGCATATTATTGTTGATGATAAATGGAAATTTGAATAATAGTGTGGTCGAAGTGATATGAATATTTAACATAAAATAAGAAAATAAAGAAAGAAGAGTTTTAGTACGTATTAAATATAAATAAAAAAAGAGATAATTAGTTAAACGAAGAATATTTACTTTAGTGAAGTTTGAAGAGATATTAAAAAGACATTAATTCAATTTAAAGAAATGAAGAATAGAAAGTCATACTTCTCAAAATGAAAAATTAATGAATAAATGAATAGTTGATGAACAAACTATCTTAAAACACAAAGATGTAATTAATTTCTTGTGAACAAAGAATAATAAAAAAGAAATGTAATATCATTTAATTAACTACTTTTTATTTAAGAATTAAAGGGAGAGGAAAATAATTCTTTTTATTTTAATAATTATAATAGGAGTTATTTTTACAGTGTAAGTAATATGAAAAAAAAAGAATAAAGATTAGTATTATCTTAGATAAAAGATGAATGGATGAATAGACGAATAGTTTAAAATTACTTAACTGATAAAAAAAAAGAATGACTTACAACTCTTTAAAATTAAACCAAATAAAAAATGTTATTAAGAATTTTTTTTGTTTTTATAATAATTAAATTAAAAAGAGGAAAACTAAAAAAAATAGAAATGAAGATTATATATGAAGTAAACAGTGACAATGTTTCTAAGTTTGAAATCGAAGATGAAGATGATTTATTTATTTTTTATCAATTGTTAGACCTTGGATGTGAAGTCACTGGACAAACTACAAGAAAAGTTACTCAAACTGCTAAAACAGGTTCAACTGTTACAAACAAAGTTAAAGTAGTCATTAGAATAAAAGTAGAAAGAATAGAATATGGTACGACTATTGCCATTTCTGGGTTAATACTTCATTGTAATAATCCTAAAGTACAAACAGGAAGATATCATACTTTACATGTTGCTATTGGAGACACAATTAGTTTATATAAAGCTCATTGGGATGAAATGGACTTAACTCGTATGCATGAAGCAGCAAATGAAACATTTAAGAGTCATTTGGTTATATTAGGATTAGATGGAGGTATAGCTAAATTATGGTTTATTTCAAATACAAGTGTACGAGAGAAAGAGAGTATTGAAGTAAATATTCCTAAAAGGAAAAATATTAATTTTAAACATGACACACAGACAGAAAAATTTTATAATCAAATTTATGATATGATAGTTAAAAATGTTAATTTTGATGATATTATTGCTCTGGTTGTTGCTGGTAATTTTACTGAAAGAAATGCTTTAATTAAATCATTAATAAATACTGCTAAAAGAATGAAAAATCCGCAAATTCAAAGTGGAATTGAACATATTATTCCAGCTTCTGCTACAAATGGAATTTTATTTGTTGTAAGAGATGTTCTTAGTGATCCAAACCTTTCAAATATTCTTGATGATTGTAAGAGTTATAAAGACATGAATTGTATTAACAAATTTAATGAAACTATGTTAAAATCAGAACATCTTGTTGCTATTGGGTATGAAGATATAATTAAAGCTAATGAAGTGAACGCTTTAAAAGAATTATATATTGCTGATGAATTAACTAAAATATGTACCGTTGAAAGAAGGTTGGAGATTAGTCGTTTAATCGAAGAACTACGTCAAAAAAATACTTCAATTAGAATGCTTAGTTCTAAAACAGAAGCTGGATGTGAAGTTATGAGACTTGGAGGTATTGTTGCTATTCTTCGATATGAATTAAATTTAGAAGATGAAGATGAAGGAGAATTTGTAGAGGATTACAACAGTGAAGATGTTGATTGGTTTGGAACAAACGTACCACAATCTATTGGAGATGTGATAGATGTTGACGATGATTGATCTTTTTGTTATATAAAACAAGATCTAATTTAAAAGTTTTTTAACAAAAACGTTGGAACTTAAAAATTTTCATTCATACAGAAGATGGAGTTTAGATCTATTCCAAAGCCTATTGCTAGTGAAGATATTGAATTGATTAATGGAGAGAAATTTATCAATGACTTTGACTCTTTTTGTAATTTGGAAGATGCAAATAAAAGACTTCCATCAATTAGGAAAACAGGAGAAGCAGCACGATTTTTGTTTAGTCCAACCCAATGTAAAGAATTTGTTAGTAAATTAGTTAAAGAAATAGAAAAAGAAGAAACAGTTAGTATTAAAGTTATTGCTATTCAACAATTAATTTATTTTATTGAAAAATGTCATTCAGAAAATATTAATTTATATAATGAATTATATGGATTAATGAAAGAATTAGTAAAAGATGAAACAGAAGAAATAGCATTAGCAGCAAAAGATGTAATGAAGAAATTAGGGGAATATTTAAATGAAGATAAAGAGATTGAAGAATATTTAGACCAAGTAGATTCATTAATAGGAAATGTAGATGGATTTATAAGTTCAATAGGACTTGATTTACTTAATTATTTTGCTGCTAAATCATCAAAAGAAAATGTAAAAAAATTTATTTTTAATAGATTAAAGAAAATGTCACAAAGTATTCAATTTATTATGAGAAAAGGAGCTGTCACTACATTCCCAGCAATATTATCAAATATTGAAGAAGAAGATATTCCAGAAGTACTTTCAATATTTGATGAATTATCAAAAGATTCAGTTTATTCAGTTAGAAAAACATGTGTTGTTGTATTAAACCAAATTCTTAATATATTTACAAATAATAAACCAAAAGTATTAGAATATATTATTCAATTTATTGAAGATAATTCAAGATATGTTAGATTCCAAGTAATTGTTAATTTTGGTAAGTTTATTCAATTTATTGGTAAAGATTTAATTAATCAAAAAATTATTGATTTCTTTAATAACAATTGTGGAAATGAAGCAGATTCAGAACAACAATATTATGCAGCTTATTATTTTGTTACTTTAATTCAAACTATTGGTGGTAATCAATGGAATCTTGTTGCTGACTCTTTTAGTAAATTAGCACTTAGTATACATTGGAAAAATAGAAAATGTATTGCATCATCATTACATTTATTAGCACATGAAGTTGGAAATGAAATTACAATGAGTTATCTTATTCCAGCACTTGATAAATATCTTCAAGATTATGAAGAAATACAATAAATATCAATGATGCATGTTGTTGATTTTATTCCAATTCTTGGACAAGAGAAATCAGTTACAATTATTACTTTATTACAAAAGAGTGTTCAATCTCCTGATTGGAGAATAAGAAAGTCTATTGCAAAACAATTAGGATTATTAGCTCAAAGCACACCAATGTATTCATCTTATGTTGAAGAAATTTGTGTTGCATTACTTATTGATAATGTTAATAAAGTTAGACGTGCAGCAGCAAAAAGAATGGGTGAAGTGATTAATGCATTTTTGACTTGTGGATATGTTGGAGCATCTTCCTTAATTCAAAAATTAACAGATATGTCTAAAGACCCAATGAAAGTTAGAAGAGTTGACTTTGTAACAGTTGCTACTTCATTATTTGTTGCTCTTCCACCAGACCAATTCAATCCATATATCCTTCCATCTTTAGAACTTGCAAGTAAAGATAAAGTTAGTGAAATTCGAATTGCTGTAGCAACAAACATTAAAAAGGTAATGGAAAAACATGAACATTACAATGATGAAATTAAAAAACTTTCAGAACAATTAAAACAAGATGAAGATGTTGACGTTAAATTTATTATGGAAAATGGACCTATTGAATTGTTTAAAAGAAAGAAAACTATCACCCCTGTTGTTGAAGATCCATGTGAAAGAATTGTCTCATTTGAGGGATTTGGAAGAAAGTAAGTTTTCTTGTTCTGCATAACTAAAACACAATTTTTTCATTATTTTTCTGTTTTTAATATTTTGAATTTATAATAGAAAAAATAAATGTTGTTGTTTAATTTTAATATGACTTTTTCTATCAAAAAAGGATTAAACGAATATTAAAAATAATAAAATCATTTGTTTAAGATATTAGAAAAAATAAATTTTATTAACTCAAATCTTTTGATAAATTTTTATATTATTAATATAAATAAAACCAAATTTAGAAGAAAAGCAAGTTACCGCTTAAAGGAAGAATGCAAGAATTGCAAAAACAACAAGAACCATTGTTGAAATAGCACCACATTGATAATGTATTCCTTCAGTACAAGTATCACACTTGAAAATTTGTTCATGTGAAGTTCTGTTTCCATCGCAACTTTGACCAGAAAAAACATTTTTATAGAAGATTCCATCTTCTTCTTCTCTTTTACATGAACCTTCTCCACAAGCAAAGCAGGCATCAGTGTAATAAACTCTAACAGTATTATCCTTATTTGAACAACTAGAATCATCTGGAATAAGAGAGTTGAAAGCAACATGATCAGGAGCTTTCATAATAGATCCACTACAATTCTTTCCTGTTGCAATGTCATATAATGAACAATATTCTTCAATAAAATCATTAATTGATATTTCACCTTCAATAGAATTTCCCTTACAATCAGCTTCAGTATAAACCTTACCTTTAAGGTTGTCACCATTCTTAGAGAATTTCATTGATGCTGTTACTCCTTCAGCAGATCCCATATAATAGCATTTTCCAAATTCAAATTTTATAAAGGTAATTGGATTACCATTGCTGTCTCTATCAGCACTCATAATAACAGAATCCTTAGCTAAAGCAATTGCAATGAAGAATACTAAACAGAACATGTTTAAATGATTTACAGTTAATCAGTTTCCAGTTTAAATACCTACTCTCAATTTCTTACTTTTCTTGTATTTTTTTTTATTGTCTATATTTTTGTTGGAAGTTATTTTATTTTTTTCCTCATTCGCTTTTTTATTCTTTTAGAACGAAAAAGAAACAACTAAATGAAGATAGTTTAATAAAAATACTTATTGCATCATTCTTTAATTTGTTCGTTCTTCCGTAGAATATTCTTATGGAGTGTTTGTTCATCGTATTTCATTAATTTTGTTGTTATTTTTTTAATTTTATTAAAAATATTCTTCATTCATCATTTTTTTTTGAATTTTTTTTATTAAACAAAAAGTTTGTGATTCTAAAGAATATAAAGAATTTCGAAATTATTCTTTTTTTTCGAAAATAACATTTTTTTTTTCAATTTCATAAACTCCTTTAACCGATGGTTTCTTTTCCCATACTCATTAGAAATTATTTACATTGAAGAGATTTTCTAATATTGATTTTTTCTTTCCTGTAATATAAAAAATTATTTAAATATTACATTAATTTTTTTTATTCTTATTTTTGTTTCTTCCAATAAAATATTAGATAAAACATTAAAATAGAATAAGTGAATGAAAAATTCATTTTTCACATTTTTTTGATGATGATTAATTAAGAGAAGTTATTTACTAAATTTTTCTTTCCTTTATGACACATACTGTTCTAACTAGTTAGTAAAGATAAAAAAGATTATTTAATATTTCATCATAAAAAGTATTTTATGGCTGTTGCTAATCCTTTTATTTACATAAGAATAGATAAACATCAAAAGTTGTTTAGTTCTAAACTCTCTTTGGTAAATAGTTTATAATTACCTGATATAATTGTTTTCAAAAATACATTATCATAAAACATTTAAAGGTGTATTTATTTAACAAAACTTTCTCTACACAACCGCTTTATTTTCTAAGACATTATCTAATTTTTGGAAATACTAAACTATTAAACTTTATAAAAAAATAAATTACTTATCTTTGTTTAATAAAAAATAAATAACTAAGTGTTAATAGAATTGTTATTTATTACTTATTGGATTTAATCACATATTTCATTATTAAAATGAATATTTTATTTTCTTCTTTCATTATGTATTTATTCTTTGGGGAGATCGAAGGTGGCATGTCTAAAACACCACACAAACCCTAGTACAAATTCAAGCATCGACACTCCATGTTATTATCTAGTTATGACGGTGTATTTGAATTAGAAATGTATTAGGTAAAACTGCAAAGGGTGGAGCAAGATATTATGGTAGAATATTACATGGTGTAATATAAGGAAGTACTAAAGTGTGGGTAAGACTAAAAGAAAATTAAACATAATAATATAATGGGAATGAAATACTCTCTTCTCTCATTCATAAAATAAAGAAAAAAGGAAAAAGAAAATGTTTAAAATTAAGATAGAAAATAAACAAAAGGTTAAAAAGAAGAAATAAGCAGAAGAAGGATGAGAAGACATTAATAAGAAAAAATAAAGCAAAGAAGTGATTTTCTCAATTTGCAAGAAAAACATAAATGATAAGTTAAAGAAAAAGATTACTCTTTTTTAAACAGCTCAGGGATTAGTCTCCGCTAAACTAGGAAGAATATATGAAAAATCTGTTAATACTTAATTAATTACTTTCTTATCATAATTAACTTATTTCTTTTCTTTATTTATTCATTTATTTCTTTTTCTCTTCTTATTATTCTTTCATAATATTTTACTTCATTCTTTAATATTATTAATTACTATATTTCTTATTCAAATAAATCATTATAATCAAATAATATCTGGTGGTTTAATGTTTGGAAAGAATTTATGGTTTGTGTTATGTTTCTGATTTTCATTCTTCATTTCTCATTCATTTTCATTTAATAAAGTAATAATAAATTAAAAATCAAATTAAAAAAGTGCTTCAGAGAGTTAAGAAATAGCAAAATTAAATAAAATTTAATTATCTTATCCACTATTTCATTGAAAAAATTTTTGTTGCTTTTGGTCGTGATATTTTTTCTGTTGACCTGTTTGGTCTATATTTACTTGAAGATTGTTTAGAATTTGTTGGTGTATATGTAGATGCAACAGGAGTATGTGAAGAAACAACAGGTGTAGTAGATGCTACTAATCCTGGTGTTTGTAATGAAGGCGTTTGTGGTAAAGGAGTTGGAGGCATTGATCCAAATGGAGAGATTGTCCAACCAGATTCCATCATTTGAATAATATTCATTAATAATAGCCTAATTCGTTTACTTAGTTTTTTATTCTTTTCTAATTCTTTTGCTTTGTTAAAGACTTCAATAATTTCTCCATATATTGGACTTGTATTATCGCTATTCATCATCTTTTCTCCGACTTTAGAACATAATGTAATATATGCATCAATTTTCATATCATTCACATCTTTTGATAATTCTTGTAAACATGTTAATGGTAGACGTTCATTAACTAATCCTAATTCAAATAAATTTGCTATTAAATTAACTGTTCCTCGATATTCAACTTGTTCAATAGATTCTTCTTCTTTTAATTCTTCTATTTCTTGTTGACTCATTCCTTCCCGAATTACTTTTGGCTCAGGTAATTTATGGAAATAGTCATATGCTTTCTCTAATAATGCACTACTTAATATTGTTGCTCCTTGTGCCACATTTTGTGTTAGTCCTACTTGTTGTCGAAGTGTTTGAATAAATCGTACATATAATTTACAAAATTTGTTTTCATTAACACATCGTTTAACAAATTGTGTAATAAATATTTTAATGTCTTCTTCACTTCTTAAATAATATATTAATGATTTTGCTGCTTCTTCTAAATTCGTTTCTTGTGATAATTGATTTAATATTACTAACATCTTTGACAATTTCTTTTGACTCTCATCTAACATACTCGAAAATAATGTAATTGGTTTAGGTTCATTTCTACTTTTTGAAAATTCTATTCTTTCAACTGTTTCATGATAAATAAGATTAAATCGATTTCTAACATCTTCTGGTAATTTGACTGCACACTTTCTATAACTTTCCATTTCACTTAAATTATATCTTTTCCCTCCTTCATTCTTTGATTCTTTTAATGTCCTTGTAAATATATTTTTGATTTCTTCTTCTTTTCTCTTTCTTTCCTCTTCTTCTTTTCTTGCTTTTTCTTCTTCTTCTTCTTTTCTTGCTTTTTCTTCTTCTTCTCTTTTAATTCTCTCCTCCTCTTCTTGTCTCTTTCTTTCTTCTTCTTCTCTTTTAATTCTCTCCTCTTCTTCTTTTCTTGCTTTCTCTTCTTCTTCTTTTTTAATTCTCTCCTCTTCTTCTTTTCTCTTTCTTTCTTCCTCTTCTTTTCTCTTTTTCTTTTCTTCTTCTTCTTTCTTTTTACGTTGTTTTTTTGATTCTCCTTTTTTGTCTTTTTTTACTGCGTCAATCCACTCATCCTCTTTTGGTGTTTCTACTGCAATTTCTTCATCCTCTTCTTGAGTCTCTTGAACTTTTTTTTTCATCATTTCCCTTTTTTGTTCTTTCTTAGATTGTTTTTTCTTTGTTTTTTCTTCTTCTGTTGGTTTTTGTTCACTTATAATAATTTCTTTCTTCTCTTCTGGAATTAATTCATCAACCTCTTGTTTTGGAGAAATGGGTTGTGGTTCTTCATCAAATTCTTCGACTTGTTGTGCTTTTTTTTGTTTTTGTTTTGATTTACAAAATGGTTTAGCATCCATTTTAAGATTACTTGAGTTGGGTTTTCCTGACTGATTTTTTGAACGAGTAAAACTTCTTGCTGAAAGATTGTAGTTGTGTTGTGTTGTTGACATAATTGTTTTTTGGACGTTTCGTGTAATTTTTTTGTCTAGGGTTATTAGTAGTATCTCATTATTTAATTTATTAGTTTTTTCGTATTTGAAAAACATAATTATATTTTTGTATGTAACTCGACTTACGAAAAAAACCACTGAAAAATATAATTTTAATTTCCTTTTAAGATGAAAAGATTTTGCCCTTCTGTTCTGAAGGTTGCTAAAGATTGTGAAAAAGAAAATCCCCAAATGATAGCATTAAGAGTCCGAAAAAGAGGAAAAATTTCTTCCCAGATGATGGTTTTCAAAAGAATGGTCAACTTTGATGGACAAGATCTTGACCCAAGGGATGTTTTAGATGTGACTGAACAGTTCGTTATTATTACCTTCACTTTTTGCAGATGAAATATATGTATCAACCTATAGAAAGAAAGAAACACAAAAATTTCAAGACTTAAGTGATGCAATGAATAAAAAATATGATAAATCAAAAGTTAATATTGTGGATGATGCTGATGATGTTAACCCCCAAAAATTTATTTATTATGAATTTTATGAACAAACAGATCATATTGGAGCCGAATATAAAGCACAAGTTGTTGTTGTTAATGAAGAAGACTTTTTAAACCAAAGTAGTGATAGTTATGATTCTGAAGATTCAAATGATGAAAATAATCCAAACAATAGTTATCCAACAACTCCATCATCTGAATATTCTGAAGATGAAGATGATGAGTTTTATGGAGACTATTCTATTTCTGTTGAATATGATGAAAGAGATAATGAAGAATTTTATGATAGTAGTGAAACAAAATATGGCATGGAAGAAGATTGATTGTTTTAAGATGAATATTGGTTTATTTCACTTTATAAGTTTTAATATTTTTTATTCTTTATAGATATTATCTTTTCCAATAGTATTAGTTATTCATTGTTTTACCTTTCAATTAATATACAAAAAATATTTAAATGTTTGGTTTAAAGAAGGAAATGTTTTTTGTAGTACTTCTACTTGATTTAATGTACTTTCTTTCTTCATTGCATCTAAAATTCCTTCATTAAGATAATTTGGAATTAATGGTGGATTTAATGATGTGATGTAATGGTGAATAATTAAATGTGCTTGTTCAATTGTTTTGATTGAATTAATGTCACAAAGTTCGTTTAATTCATTAAGGTCAAAACATGTTGGTTGAAGTAAAGGAGAAGTAGGTTGATATTCACATTCATCAATAATTTTAAAACATCGAACGAGTATTAATGGAATACAATAACTACTTTTAAATGCAATAGTGTGTAATGGATAATGAGTAATTCCGGTGACACAACAATAGGATGATAATGTTTTAATCCATAATGCTAATGTTTGTTTATTATTACATTCAAACTGATAATATTCATTTTCTAATAAATCAAATGTTATTTCTATTTTCACTGGATCAATAACCTCTTGTTCTACACTCAAATAACATAATTTCCCATTTTTTAAATTTATTGAAAAAACTTCTTTCTTTTTATCTTCATCTTTGCATAATATTAATTTATTACCTTCTAAAACATAGTAATATTTCTTGATTTTAGTTGACAAATTAATTCGAATATCAATCCACCCAGTAAGTGGTAGTTCACCACTCATTTCTTTCTATCATTTTAAGTTTTTTTATTGAAAAATATTTTGAAAAACTATTTCACATTAATGAGATGTTATTTAACCTTCACTATCTTAACTCCTTCTATTCTTTTTTTAATTTTATTAATTTATTATTAAAAACATTCATCTAATTCAAACATCTTCAAACAAATAATCACTTATTATTAACTACTTCATCTCATTCTCAAACATTTTTAAATGATTTATTTCTCTTTAATGGAGTATTTGATTCACTAATTAACAAATGAAATAACATTAATTGATTATAATAAATAAAGCATTTATTTTCTTTCTTTTCTTTATGGCGTATCAACTATCAATTATTTCTTGTGTATTTAGTTATGTATGTTCATTAAATTGTTTTAAATGATTAATGTAACATTTGACTATTTTCTAGAAATATTTTAGTGTAGTTTGAAGTGAATGAAACATACCAAATAAAAAGACAAATGAATGATGATAAAGAAAGAAATAATAATCAACAAGTGATGATATGCATTTCATTGGAGTAGAGGAATAATCAAAGAAATGATGATAAGAAACAATGATAGAAACTTAATGATTTTCAATTAAGAAGTAAAAATGAAAGAAAATAACAAGAAACTTCACAATGAGAAAAGATAATAAAAAAGAAAATGATGAAAAAATAGATAAAAAATAGGAATCAAATCACATATTTCATCTTCTCATTCATTGAAGTTATCACAATCACTCTAGATAGTGATTGAAGAGGGTGTTTTATTAATTGTTAATGAAGATGGAGTTGGAACATTTCAGAGAAATTGAAAGAAAATTCATGGTATTTATAAATGAATAAAACAGATAATATAATAAGTCCAGAGAATGTGAAGAGTCAAACAGATGTTTATTGTTTGAATAAAGAATGAAAATGAGGATATTACTTTTCAAACAACAAAATCAATGTTTTAGAAAGAAAGATAAAGACTAAAATTAAAGAAGTGACAGTAAAAACATAAACACAAATCACAATAATGTTATTTGAAATAAAAAGAAGTAGAAAATATCCAAAAGAATGTTCAAAAGAATGAAAATAAAATTAATGTTTCAATGATATTTGAAATAAAATACAAAATATTCATCAAACAAAAAGAAATTCAACCAACCCAATATGAAAATAAAGAAACAAACCAAAATAACAAAAATAATTTAATGATAATTTATTTCAAATATCAATTATATAATAATGTATTGTTTTTAATTGAAACAATAATTAATTATGATGATAGTCATTTAATACTTGTTTCAATTATTTTCTGTGATGATGAAATTTAACAGAATAAAGTATTTAAGAAATAAAATAAAGAAATAACAAATAAATTTATTTTTTCTTGTTACTTGCTCAATTGAGGCTATTCTTATATATGAATATTCTTCTATTAATTCTAACTCTACTAGATATATTTTAATGTGATAGAAACACTATTCAACTACATTAATCATGTTTATAATGACAATGTTTTTAACTTCTTTTAAAATGTTATTTTCAATTATTATTTATTTATTTAATTAATACTTTATTTATTTATTATTCATTGTTTCAATTTATGAAGTCAATTATTTTTATATCTCTTATTTTTCTTTATTCTATTCATTATTTATAATCACTTCCATTCCTCAAATACTTCCAATGATATTATGAGATGAAATAATAGTTATATCAATTATCAAACTCATTTTATTCTTCTTAACTATTATACATTTTTATCTTTGTATTTTATTCGTTTTAATACTTTTATGTTGTGTCAGTGGATATTTCTTGAACGAAAATTAGCAAAGAAAAAATGCATCTAAATAAAATACAAAAAAAGAAAAAAGAAGCAAAATAATTTGAATCATTAGACTCTTCCATTTTATTATATTTTGCTCATAAAAAATAAAAAATATGATAAATACACAATCTGTAAATATTTATGTTTATATTTTATAATCACCTGTAGTCTTTTTGTATGAAATATTGATGAAATAGATGATTTGATGAATTATAATTATTTGTATTCTTTTATTATTATGTTATTTATGTATCTTATTTTCATATATTTATTTCTCTGTTTATATTATTTATATCATCTGTTTATCTATATATTATATTATTCTTCTCTTTATATTCTTTATCATTTCTTCTTGTTATTCTTTTCTATTTAGATGTATTTGTTTATTTGTTTATTCATATTTATCATTTTTATATTATTATCATTTATATTTACTTTCAATTTATATTTATTCTCTTTTGATTTGTATTGATATTATCTTTTATCTTTTGATTTTATTATTTTATTATTTATTATCATTTCTCGTTTTTTTTTTATCTTTTATTCTTATTATTCTTTTGTCTCTATATTCTATATCATATATTCATATCATTTTCATTTATATTTTATCACTTATTATATGTTATAATAATAACATAACACATATGATTGATTATATAATAAATATCATGATGAATTTATACACATAAATAATAAACATAAAAATAATAAAATATTTTCATCAATAAAATAATATTAATCATTTTACATCATTAAATTAGACACTTTTTATTGAATATTTCTAATTTTTTCAATAAAAATACACAGTTTATTATCTCTTTTCTTTTCTTCTTTTATTATTTTTTTGTTTTAATACTCTTTATCTTCTTTCTTTTTATATTCTTTTTATTCTTTTATATCTTTTATTCTTTCATCATCTTCTACTTTCTTTTTATTCTTTTATATCTTT